GAGGTTGCTAAGGACAATGTCAAGACCTGGCTCCAGACGCCAAGCAGACTCTCACAGCATAAGCCTCCCTGATAGAGCCTGGCCAGGTCCTACTGTCCGGAGCTATTTTTCTCCTTCTTAAAGTTAACTGGCCAACATGAGCAAAAACATAAGGGACCATTTACCTTACAGGTGAAGAGCAAAGATTTGGGAGTCAATTAGGTTTGCGTTTTGTTTTTATGCACTAAAATCAGAACCATTACTATGAGCTAGAAGCCACTTTGGTGACTGTTATTCTTTCTGAGTCTCACGCCCTCCACATTTCAAGTGAAGACAATAATAAAGTGACAATTAAATGATATAATGCATAGAAAGCACAATTTACCTCTTATAAATAATGGCTCAATAAACTTATTATCATTATCATTCTATTATTATACTGCAATATAACCCTTCCCCAGACCCAAAAGTTATGAATGGTAGAACTAGTGAATAGAATTAGCATTTAGTTGTGTAATATTAGAAGAAGAGAAAAGTAAATTCTGTGATTGTTCTACCTCCTTATCCTGTTTCACTGTAGCGTATCTTTTAAAGGGAACTCATGCTTGGTCAAGCATGGAAGTGAAAATAAGTTGTTTACTTACGAAGGAAATAGAATCTGATTTAAAATTATGTAGCCTTGAAATAAGTTGGAAACTTTTCATGACTTATTTTGAATAATAAATTCCATTGCCAGGTAATGAGTCTTCGGAGGTAAATGATTTCCGTTGCAAATGATACTAGCAATGGTTTTCTGACGATTTTTCCACCAGCGTGGCCCCAGTTCATACCTTGCTGCCTGGTTCCAAGGATGCACTTAACAGTGCCAAATTGCAGGCGGGCTCCTCTGGTGGCCTTTTGCTCTTAATATAAGCCGGCCCCTGTCTTGGCAGTACTATTCCACAGGCTCCCAAGCCCCTGATTTAATCCTGTTTGTGCTTCAGGAGCAGCTGCCCAGAGCGCTGCGACACACAGCGGGTCCCTGGGCCCGCACTGGCTCGGGGACACATTCTGTTAC